TGGCAAGAATGGTAACTCCCCCCCAAAAAAAGTAATTTATAAACAAAAGAATCAATTGCTCCTATGGAGGGATACTCTCTCAGCATAGATACATTTGGTCCTGCCCCAAATGATGTGACAGACTTTGATGATCCCCCACAGAAGGCCTCACCCTCTCTGAGGCGTGGATGAGGGGTAGGATGGGGAAATGGGGGGAGAACAGGGGGGGAAAGGAACTGAGATTGATATGTAAAATAAGACTGTTTTTACTTTAAATAAAAATTAATTTAAAGGGTCTGGAGAGATGGCTCAGAGGTTAAGAGCACTGACTGCTCTTCCAGAGGTCCTGAGTTTGGTTCCCAGCAACCACATGGTGGCTCACAGCCATCCGTTATGAGATCTGGTGCCCTCTTCTGGTGTGCGGATATATATGGAAGCAAAATGTTGTATACATAATAAATAAAATCTTTAAAAAATAATTTAAAAATAAATCAATTGCTCATAATTCTAGAGGTGGGAAATCCAAGGCCAGTGGCATTCTTGAAATCTGGCGAAGCCCTGTTCCTCAGAGATAGTGTCCTTTTACTCATTCACACAAAGCATGAGAGGCAAAGTCCTAACAAACACTGTGAAGCTTCCTAATTAAAGGCTCTAACCTCATTCATCAGGATGGGACTCTCACGACCTAATCACCTCTTGAAAGGTCACATCTTAAAATATCATTGATATGGTCTTAAAATGATAACCGTCTGGGAGTCTGGATGGGGTTCATTTCCTCTGCTGGTTGAAGAATTAAAAGGCATGAACAGTCTGAAGCGACAGGCAGCAGCACAGAAATCTCAGGCACGGCAGTCAAAATCAGCAGTTGAAGGAAAGCATTGGTTGGAGGCGAGGAAGCACACACACGGAGCAGGCACACAGAGAAAAATACCCTCTGCAGGCAGAGGAGAAACTCGAGGAGCTGAAAACTCCAGCTTTGTAGAATTTTCTTCCCCTAATTTAGTGTTGGTCAGTTTGAAGAAAGTTAGGATGGTTGATTGGCCCAGAACTACTGTGGAATAAATAATCCTTCTGTACACTCTGAAGATGTGTTGCTCCTGTTGTTAATAAAAAGCTGATTGGCAGGTTTGGGGGGCAGAGAGAATTCTGGTGAGAAGAAGGGTGGAGTCAGAGGAGAGACCATGAGACACAGAGCAAGTAGGATGGGAAGTACATAGATGAGCCTTGGGGCAGAACATAGATTAATAGAAATTGGTTAATTAAAGTTATAAGAGCTAGCTAAAAAAAACAAGCCTATGCTATCAGCAGGGCATTTATAATTAATATCAAGTTTCTGTGTGGTTATTTGTGGAGCAGCTTGTGGGAGAGAAATGATCAGTGGTCTATACAGAAAAGTTCACCTACCCAGAACTTTTATTCAACATGTTACATAACATCTCATGAGCAGGCCTTGAACTTACTGAGGCAGTCCATCAGCAGGAGCCTGCTGAAGGGAGAGAAAAGCCCATAGAGCCTTTGTTTTAAGCTGTCGGGCTAGTTACTCATGTCAAGAGGGCCAGGAAAAAGCTTGGAAATTCATTACCTAGCCACAACCCCTCTCCCTATCTGTCTGTCCAACAGGAGTCTATATAACTCCTGGTCTCTCATTATCATACTAGGGGTGATAGTATGAAGAAAACTGAAAAGTAGCCTGACCCCTTGACTGATTGACTCATTAGAGCTACAGTACTGTGGAGAGGTTGGAGTGTTACATACAGGTCCAGGGGCTAGTTACCTTATCTTGGGCTAATTCCAGTCCTCCTGAACAGCTGTTTTTTGCAACTAACATCCTGTGACTGAGAGGTAAAAACCTTTTGGAATCTATTAGCTGAGAAGACCACTAGCTTCCACCAATCCAAAAGCTAAGACTGTCATCAGATGGCATCTTGGGCCTATAGCAAATCTTCCCCCATCACACCGTACCTACCTCTCTGATGTACTCACCAATGTATTTTAGACTTGCCACTTCATGAAACTGCTTCCACATTGGAACATGGACTTTGGAATAACCTAAATCTGTGTTCCTGGCCTATGGTTGCTCAAAATGGTTCCAAAATAACTCTCTCTTATTCCCTTTAAGATGAGAGCTGCAATTTTTACATTGACAATAGCAAGTATTAACATACGATTGGGGATGATACAAATAATTTGGTCATAGCAGTAAGTAGATTGCTGTGAGTCTAATACAAATTATTGCTTAGATTCTGCAAGTCATGTATTTTGGTCTACTGTAATAAATGAGTCACTGAACATGAACTAAGAAAGCCTGGGTTGAAATCCCACTTATCCACTTTGCTAATCACATATATTTAAACGTTTTACCTCTTTCCTAGCAGCAATCAAAATTATATGTCTGTTTAATCTTGATAAAGATGTTATGGATCACATAAATATAACTTATCTCAGGCTTGCTGCATGAGGGAAGAACTGCTTATGGCTCTTCATCTGAATACATTAGGGATGAGGGGAACATACAAAAATGCTGACTGATCTTGCTTAAGATTCATGATAAGAGGAAAGCAAGGCTGACCATAGCTGTCCACACACACACACACACACACACACACACACACACACACAACTACACACAACCACAGATCTCATCTCAAAGATGATTTATTTTGGAGCAAATATGAGTGACCCAGGCCCAGGAATGAAGAGCTAAGTTACCCCAGGTTCCAATGTAGAAGGAGTTTCACCAAGATATATATATATATTCTTGTTTTGCATACTAATCCCAGTTCGCTCTTTCTCCCATTCTCCAACTCTACCCATCAAGTTTACAGTTGCAGAACAAAGTCACAAATCAAGGCTACTTGAGAACACTATGGTGGGTGCCACAGAGAAGCAGGTCACAGACAATCAGACAGGTCATCTGATAAGTTCTTAGCCATTTGATTGTTGGAGAATAAGGTTGTGTTAAGTTAATATATTCCAAAGCTTTTTATCTGTTTATCAGTTTGTTGTGTATGACACAGAGTAGGCAAGGAATGCCTCATTTAGGGGAGCTGAAGATAGCCTGACACAAAATGTAATTTTGTAATATTTCAAACTCCCCATATCCCTTGAATTTTTTTAATGAGCCTACCAGCATTAACGCACACAGTTCCTTTCCAGGAATTTTCTTTGACACACAGAATGGGTTGTATTTTAGCATACAGTGCACCCTTTACAATAGTCCATTCAGTAACAGTCACAGTCAGAGATGAGTATATTTTAAGATGAGCTAAAAATTGCATTCATAAACAAATTTATAACAACTTTGCAATTTTAGCTTTGTTCTGCTATTATAAATATTAAACATTGCTACTTGGTCCAAATGGTCACACAGAATGACCGAAAAGGAAATAACTTCAGCTTTGTTACTGTCACAATCATTGGTCTACCTTCCTTTATTTCTAAGCTACTGTTTAAACACACGATTTTGATACAGCTGTGAATTTGCCTGGAGGCAGGTCAAATGATTCTGACCCATTTTAAATTACTAATGGGACTAGTAAAGCTATTGGAACCCAAAAGTCAATATTTTCAAAATAGCAGTTCTCCAAAAGAATTTCACATAAATGAACCTACTTATTAATAACTACAATTAGAAATGCAGTATATTTTCATGTGTTAAACTGAACTCAAATATGTACAGCTCTAGTAAAGCCCAAGAATAATTACAATTGTTTAGCTAAGAACTTTCAGTAAAAGGTATTTTTCAAAACAGAATATTTTATCAAAGGCATTGTTAAGTATGCTTATGCATTATGCTCATAAAAGCAAGCTAATATTTAATTGGTTTAATAGATTGTTTTACATTTTCTACACATTCACCATGTCTTTTTTTCTTTTGCATCCAAAGTAGATGGGCCTTATCCTGACTGTTCCTGAGAAGACTGCTATATTTGCATTACATCATTCTACTTCAAAAATGAGTATTTTATAAATTCCCAGACTTCTTAACTTTTAACATGTGGAGTTACATTGTAATCCACTGAGAAATCTGAAACAATCATGAGATAGTTCTTCTTTCTTCCTGCAACAGAAATCAACCAACTCTCCCATGTCAAGATTCCTGTCTCCAAGTTCTTTCTATGCAGTGTCCTTCTCTTCTCACTTGAAGACTTGGCTCCTAAAAGTAGATGGAACTGACACCTGGACACTGCCAAGACCCAGGTGGTAGTTCTGCCTCCATCCACTGGCCCAATCCCACATCCATCCACCAGCCCAGGTAGGCCGAGGGCTGTTTCTGGTTCCAGTTCAGGGGCCCTGCCAACATCAAATTTAATGGAGAGAAAATCAATGCAATTCCTCTAAAATCGGGGTCAAGACAAGGCTGTCCACTCTCTCCATACCTCTTCAATATTGTTCTTGGAGTTCTAGCTAGAGCAATAAGACAACAAAAGGAGATCAAGGGGATACAAATTGGAAAGGAAGAAGTCAAACTCTCACTATTTGCAGATGATATGATAGTCTACATAAGTTACCTGAAAAACTCTACAAGGGAACTCCTACAGCTGATAAACACCTTCAGCAAAGTGGCAGGATACAAGATTAACTCAAAAAAATCTGTAGCCCTACTATATACAGATAACACATTCCTGGAGAATAATCAGAGAAACATCACCCTTTATAATTGCCACAAACAACATAAAATACCTTGGGGTAACACTAACCAAAAAAAGTGAAAGTCCTGTACCATAAGAATTTTGAGTCTCTAAAGAAAGAAATTAAAGAAGGTACCAGAAAATGGGCAGATCTCCCATGTTTTTGGATAGGTAGTATCAACATAGTAAAAATGGCAATCTTTCCAAAAGCAATCTACAGATTCAATGCAATCCCCATCAAAATCCCAAAACAATTCTTCACAGACCTTGAGAAGGGACAATTCTCGAATATGGCGGCACCCAGGTGAGGCTAGTCGAGGGCGCTTGCACAGTCCTCTAGGCTGGAGCGCAGCTGGCTGACCATAGGGAGAGCATCCGAGTAGTGAAAAGCTCTGTATTACTATGAACATCAATCATAAAGATGGCCTAAAACTTAATAAAATGGAAAAGAAATTCTTAAGGAAACAGAGTAAAGCCAGACATGTGTTGCTGAAACATGAAGGCATCTTGGCAGTGTCTTATCCCACTCAGAGCCTGGTTGTTGCCAATGGTGGTCTTGGTAATGGTGTGAGTAGGAAGCAACTGCTTTTGGCTTTAGAGAAATGTGGGCCCATGGAGGCTCTCCTGATGCCGCCTAATAAGCCTTATGCATTTGTAGTATTCAAAACTATCGACAAGTCCAAGAAAGCCTATGCTACTCTCAATGGAAAAGAAATCATTGATGATTTGGGGCAGAAGATCATTCTGTACTTGAATTTTGTGGAAAAAGCACAATGGAAAAAAGTTGGGACTTCAAGCCTTACCTCCAGGCCTCTTGGTGGTAGAAGAAAATATTTCTTCTGAGGATGAGAAAATGCTTTGGGAAAGTGTTAATTGGACAGGAGACACAGGCAATCAGAATTTTCAAAAATCCTTAAAACACAGAAGAGTTAAACATTTTGGTTATGAATTCCACTATGAGAATAACACTGTGGATAAGGATAAGCCCTTACCTGGGGGTCTTCCTGACATTTGCAACAGCATTTTGGATAAATGGTTGAAAGAAGGTTACATTAAACATAAACCTGATCAGTTGACCATAAATCAGTATGAGCCTGGACATGGAATTCCTGCCCATATTGACACACATTCTGCCTTTGAGGATGAGATCATTTCTCTCAGTTTGGGGTCAGAGATTGTTATGGATTTTAAGCACCCAGAGGGTGTCACAGTACAAGTTATGTTACCTCGTCGGAGTTTGCTGGTGATGACAGGAGAATCTAGATATCTTTGGAATCATGAAATTATACCCAGAAAATTTGATACTGTCCAAGCATCTGAGCAGTTCAAAGGTGGAATAATCACCAGTGACATCAGAGACTTGACTTTAAGCAAGCACGGAATTCGAACATCATTTAGGTTTAGGAAAGTGAGGTGTATGCCCTGCAATTGTAGTTACTCCTCGGTCTGTGACGTTCTGTCTGCTACTGTTGGCTTACTTCATAAATGTGTGTTCCTCTTATATGCCTTCTAAGTATGGTGTTTAAAAGTGATTAGCATTAACTTGTGAAAGGTCTGTGATCTTTGTGTAATGGTATCACATTTTGAAGATAAGCTTTTGTTATAAAGTGTTTATAAAGAACCTAAACCATATAGGATCATAATGAAGCATTTATATAACATTTTTATGAAATGAGTAACCCTGGACAATAAGAAATTATCTGAAGTTTATCTACAACTTCTTGTTCCCAAAAAAATCATGGTAACTTTCTCACTGCGTCTTTCTAGGACATTGTGGATGCCCAGTATAACTTTGGCCACATGATTATCAGATTTCAGAGAAACTTCATTGAACAGATAATCATGAATTGCCTACTGTTTACTATTATGTACTAGGACTGGAGTTGTGAACAAGGAAGTTGAGGTGTAGCTCTTTGAAAGAGTGTGTGTTTCTAACTGAAGCACTGGATTTAATATCCATTACCACAAACACATACACCAGCAGAGCAAAACCCTCATGCCTAGGATGCTTACCTTCAAGAAAGGGAGATTGACAAAACAAACAAATAAGTAAATATTGTGTTCGTGATAATCATAAATGCCATGTAAAAAAAAAAGTAAATTGCAGGCTGAAAGGTATATTAACCTATGAGCAAAAGATTACTTTTTCATGGTTGAAGTAACTACCAATCCTGACTTATTTATTACCAGGAATTACTATTTCAGATCTATTGATCTAAGCTCTGAAGACAACTCAAGTAATTCCCTTTAACAATTAAGTTGCAAAAGTTAAAATGTTATTAGCCATACCAGATTTTGCTCTTTCAGTCACAATTGGCTGTTTTTCCTTATTCATATTTTGTCACAATCCAGGAAGAATGGAGGTATTTTTATCTAGTAAATGAAACCAAAAGCATGTTCTTGGAAAGAACTGGCAAGATGGATCAATATCTAGCCAGACTGAGCTGACCAGGGAGAAACTTTTATGATTTTTATACTCAAAAAAAACATAATTAAGGAGGCCAGTACGGGACTAATCCAGCCCCCTGATCATGGATGCCAATGGGGAGGCCCCTGCACTCCTGGGAGCCTCCGGAGGTGGACTGGCGTTTTGCCCTGGTGTGTGGGGGGGACTTCGAGAGCCCATCCCACTTGAAGGGATGTGCTAATAATAATAATAATAATAATAATAATAATAATAGGAAAAAACATAATTAAAAGTAAAGAAAAGAGATACCATAATAGAGGAGCCATTATAGGTTTAAGAGAAATCTGGCAATATGGAAATGTCCAGAGATCTACAAGGATGACCCCAACTAACAATCTAAGCAACAGTGGAGAGGCTACCTTAAATGCCCTTCCCTGATAAT